CTTATGATATGTCAAATATACCGTAAGTTCGGAGTGATTTCGAGATGAGAAGAACTGACAAGAAATTCAGCTCGTATTATTTTCAAATGAGCTTGTATGTACATATTTACAAAAATACAGATATATTTTTAAATTCAAATTTGGGAGAATAGAGTGACCCTAGTGGTCATCATATGCTATTCCATTTTGTCAAAAGGTAATAGTCTAATCAGTGTTCGTAACCCGAACAAATCAGTCCCGACAAGCATCACCCGTTCACGAGTATGACATTATGTCTTTTTAGTACAGATGTACTAGACGTTTGGGAGAATGTGACCACAAGCATTTATTTAGAATTTTTATTTATATTATATTATTTAGAATCTCGTCAGTTGGAGTCGGTTAAAAATAAAATACAGCGACAAAATCAGTGCACAATAGATACGCTATTCAAAAACTGTATCTGAAACACTGGAATTGACACAGCTCTCACGGAGAGCAAAAGAATGTGAAAACAAAAGATGCAACCTTGGTGGCGAGCTGTACACAAAGGCATGCCACCGTTGTCATTTCCATTTCTGGGGTGCACCGCTAACTTATTTCTTGTGGCCGCGAAACAGGCGATTTCAATTACATATAAGAATAGAATAGAAATAGATTTAATTCAAAGGTGACTGACATAGTCAAAGGTGACTGTCGTAGAGATCTATCAACACACAGCTCAAACCGCTGGACGGATCGGGCTGAAATTTAGCATGCAGGTAGATATTATGACGTAGGCATCCGCTAAGAAAGGATTTTGATTAATTCTACCAAGGACATAAAATAGGGGATGAAATTTTGTATGAATCTTTGTCAATTTTAAACCGATCGGGCTGAGACTTTGCATGCATAAATCTACTATAACGTAGGCATTCCCTAAGAAAGGATTTTGAGAAATTCTATCCCTAAGGGGATAAATTAACGCGAGCGATGCCGCGGGCAAAATCTAGTTATATAGTACAAAACAAAGTCGATGTCGCTCTCTGTCCCTATGTACGCTTAAATCTTGACAACTATGCAACGGATTTTGAAGCCAGTTTCTTTAATAGATAGAGTGATTCAAGAGGAATATCTATATATATGATACATGTGCGAAGTGTAGTACACCCGTGCGAAGCCAGTATACATAAAAAAACTGTAAAACAAATAAAAGAAAAAATATAAAATAAAATATAGAATAAAATATAATATCACTAGGGCTTTATGCGAATAAATAATAATAATAATAATAATCCGAAAATTTCTCGAAATCGATGAAAAAGATATAACAGCAGTCACACCAGGCACACAGTAAGTACACACACACTCACACATACATACACGCGCACACACACATACACACACTCTGCACTTACTTGGTTTCGGCCCGTAAGTGTGGAGAAAACCAGCAAAAACTGAGAAAAAAAAAATAATAATCATTTATTCAGGATAAAAAAGAGTACAGAGTAAAAAAGAAAACTTGAAAACTAATAATCGTCTATGCCGCAGCGTGTCACTACAGCGCTGATTTTCAGTGGAGCCACTTGAAAAAAAAAAAAGCATTTGTGATGAATTTATATATTTAAAACGAAGAATCAGTTAAATGGATGAATTCTAAGTATGTGTGATAAATAGAAGAAAAATATATAAGGATAAAAATGTGTTGATAGAAATGACTTACTATATATTTTTATTTAAACCTAGCACTGTGTGGCCCGACAGTAGGTCGTCAGTATTTAGTCCGAAAGGGGCGGGCGTTTCTTATTTCCGGTTCGGCGTGACTCACCGGAAACTAACGACGCGAACAGACGAACACACTGTGATCATGATACGCTGCCTTTTATACGACGTATGACATGTAAATGTTTACCACAGTTATATACAAGGTTTTTTTTGCATAAATTTATACACAAGACTGCGTAACGGTTTCTATGTTGATTAATATTGCAAGTAACTGACTTTGAAATAAAAAAGAATTTCAATTGAGTTTCTTGTCAGCTCTTCTCAATTGAGTCTGTATACTGAACTGGACAGTAGGAAAAAAATACAATATAAAAAAATACGATTCTAAGCGGTCAAATTTCCTACATGAATAAATGATTTTTGAAAATGAATTTAAATTTGATTGTAGCATGCCTCTTCCTTGTTAATGTGAATTTATTTAGTACTCTAGTACTAGTAGTACTAGTACTAATGTATTTATTAATATAGTAAGCTTCACATTAAACATGTTGACGGTGATCTAGCGGTTTAGCATAACACTTTATTTCCAATGGTTGTAGGTTCGATTCCTAGCATTGTGCAAACATTTGTATTCATGAGTATAATCGTTTGTATCGGTCTAGGTATTTTCTATATATATTATGTATATATTTACAAAAATAAAACATAACACAAGCTCTGCTTACCGTGGGACTAGATGGCGCTGTCTTAAATAGGGTTATATATTTATTTATATTATATTCTAATTATTTCACAAACAAAAAAATTATAAGTTTTAGTCTTCGTACCCAAGTCTAAATATATTTTAAAAATAAAAATAGTCTTTATTCAAATAAACTTAATAATCATTTTTGAACAGTCATATATTTCTATTCTACCTCATTCGGAAAGCAGACTAATAGAAATAGAAATAGAAATAATCTTTATTCAAATAAACTCATTACAAGCACTTTTGAATAGTCATATTTTGATTCTACCACTTACTCGGAACGCAGATTCATCACAAGAAGAATGAGCAAGAAACTTGTGTGTTGCTCTTTTTAATAGATGTTTTTTTTTATATAAATAATTACAGTGTAATCACAATCAGAACGAGCAAGAAACTTGCCTGCTCTCATTTAAATATAAGATATATTGGAATAAAAAACTAACAGAAAAGAGTAATTCAGCTCAAGAGTCCTAAATCGTTTTCTATAAGCACTAACCATTAGCACTTTACGACGATGCTAACTACTACGTTAGGGACAGAAAAACTCTTGTACGTAGTTAACTGTATAAAAAATTATACTGATTTACTTGAACTGCTTTTTCTTACATAAAATTACCTCACAGTAGGAATGAGGGTCTACGAAAAAGAAAGCGTCAGACCAGAAAATATTCGATGTAGGTGCCACTCAGTGTTTTAGTTGATCCTTCAGATAGTGGTGTAAAGGCAATTTGCTCACTAGAATAGAATAGAATAGAATAGAAAATCATTTATTCAAATAAACTTACATTGAAGCACTTTCTTATCATTGAATAGTCATAAAATTTTTTTTTAATCTACCGCTCATTCGGAATGCTGTCTCATCACAAGAAGAACAAGCAAGAAACTTGTGTGTAGTGTGTGATTAGTGAAGTGATACAGTTATTTGTTATAGGGTACATCAAAACTGGCATAAATAGTTACTCAGGATAATTCACGCAGCGCCATCTAGTCTCAAACTAAGCAGAGCTTGTGTTATGGCCTCAATATAACTGATACTTAGGATATTTTTTTTATAAATACATACATAAACAGCCACGCCAATACAAACATTCCTGAATATAAATCTTAGATATAAAATTCTCGTGTCACAGTCTTCGTTCCCATACTCCTCCAAAACTGCTTGACCGATTCTCATGAAATTTTGTGAGCGTATTGAGTAGGTCTGAGAATCGGACAAGATCTATTTTTCATCCCCCTAAATGTTAGGGGTAGTCCACCCCTAATTTTTTTTTTATTTTATGGCAAAACAACGTTTGCCGGGACAGTTAGTACATTATATGATACTATAGTATCATGCGAGGAATAAACTCGCGACCATCGGAAGTAAGGATGTAGTACACCGCTAGATTACCAACACCGTCCTATTCTATTTTTATAGTTATATTTATTAGTACTGTATGATTCTTTATTGTTTATTAATATAATGAGTTAGCTGAGTTACTTGTCAGTTGTCATCTCGAAATCATTCCGAACTAACGATATTTGACATATCATAGGAGTCTATAACAAAAGTTCATGAAAAAGATATTTTGACTTTATTAGTGGTAGCTTAGTGGTAGAAATTCGTGCCATAATTAATATAAATTATTAAGTGTGAACATTATAAAGATTCTATTGTCAAAGACTATACTTCTATTACCACATACTTAAACTTAAAAATGTAAAGTAATAATAAAATTATTTAAAAGACAATAGAATCTTTATAATAAGATGATTATAAAGAGTTCTATTTATTTGAATAAATGATTTTCTATTCTATTCTACAGGAACTAGCAGTCGCACAGGCAATAAACAAAAAAGTATATATGTGTGTGTGTGTCAAATACATGGATGTGTATTATTTTTTATTTAATGTACATTTAATACATAATTATAAAAAATATGAGGATTCTTCATTCCTTTAGCGTTTACGTCCGTGCTATTTTTGTTTAAAGGACTACAAAGTTTTTGTTTCACATATCAATTAATATTATAAATTCGAAAGTTTGTGAGTATGAATGTTTGTTAGTCTTTTCTGCAAAAACTACTATACTGATTTTGATGAAACTTTACAGTAATATAGTTTATGTATCAGAATAACACTTGGGCTATATTTTTTATTGAAATTTATCACGGATAAAACCGCGGGCACTGTTAATAACATTATAAACGCGAAATTTTGTGAGTACCTATAGATGTTTGTTACTCTTTTATGCAAAACTACTAAACGGATTTTAATGAAACTTTACAGTAATATAGCTTATACATCAGAATAACATATAGGCTACAAATTTTCGCGAAACCGCGTGCACAACTAGTATAATATATAATAATAGTAAACCGTAGTAAAACATATCTCTTAAAAAAGTAAACTAAATACCTGTTGCTTAACTGGAAATATCTTGACTTCCTCAATAATATCTCTACACAGAACAACCTCTCCCACACTTGGCTAAGGCCCGTGTGACCTTCTTTTAAATTTATAAAAGAAAAGAAAGATTATAATAATAATAATAATAATAATAAATTATGATTATGATATTGTTTGCAGGTTTAGGGGTCCTTCCTGGAGTAGGGGGCGGTGGTGAGGGAGTGGTGAGACCCGAGCGACCCTACTTCGATGATGTATCGCCCAGGAACGTATCGGCGGTTGTTGGACAAGCCGCCGTGCTCAGATGCAGAGCTAAGCATATAGGGAATAGAACGGTAAGTGGGAATTTATTTTATTCCTATTTAACAAGATACTACGATTATTATAGATAACATTAATATATATATAAATGTCTATCTGTTCGATTAAATGACGACCTCGGTGGTCTAGCGGTTTAGCACACCGCTTTACTTCCGATGGTTGCGGGTTCGACTCCTTGCAAGGTTCTAACATTTTTGTATCCATGCGGATGATTGTTTGTATCGTTCTGAGTAATATTAAATACATACGTTATTACGTATTTAAATAAAAAAAAAATATATATATATGTATATATTTATTAAAAATTTATTATAATAATTATATTGAAATTCTGTCTTGTAATTGTAATATATCCCATATCATAGTCAATTCACTTTATCACTTTTTATTATTATTTGACACTTTTTCTTCTGTATAACACATATATCCTAATAGTCACAATGATATTTATATATTTAATTAATTTTCGACAGGATTTACACACTTTTTAATTTTTTTAAAACCAATAGTGCGGAGAGCTAATGTTTACGTGACGGTGGCGTCCTCACTCTGATCCTTTAGTTATTGGTATTAAGTTGCCCGTTAGAATTGTATTAACAATAATCCATCCATGAAAACTAACCTTAAAGAAATTTAAAGTTTTTCATAACTACACAAAAGATATTTTAATATTATAAACTTTTACTCCCAGCTACTCACTCCGGCTTCGCACGGGTGTACATGTATTATATATATAAACCTTCCTCTTGAATCACTCTATCTATTAAAAAAACCGCTTCAATATCCGTTGCGTAGTTTTAAAAATTTAAGCATACATAGGTACGTACAGACAGCGACAGCGACTTTGTTTTGTACTATGTATATATTATTGAGAATAGGCGGGGGAAAATGTTAGGGCACTTGTTACGACACGACGAACTATTTAATAACATTATTGAAGGAAAAATAGATGGAAAGAGAGGAAGGTGAAGACCGAGACACAGCTATATCAAGCAAGTTAAAGAAAAAATTAGAAAAAATTGGGGTCGTGTCGTATCAACAGCTAAAATAATAATAATCTCAGGACAATTCACACAGCGCCATCTAGACCCAAGTTAAGCTAGCTAAAGCTTGTGTTATAGGTACTAGATAACTGATATATATACATAGATATTTTTTTTTTGTAAATACATATATATTATACATAGAAAACACGCATACCGATACAAACAATCATACTCATGAATACAAAAATACAACCATCGGTCGTAAAAGGATTGAATCTTCTAGATTGTGGAAGGTGGCAGGAGCTCCACCGATAAGAGCACAGCTCTTAAATTGTAAATGAATACATTATAAAACATACTTGCAATTATTAATTCTAATATTTATTGAAAATAATAAAAGCTGGGTTTATTATCAGTGCTTATGAAAACATCCGAACTGACAGTATATTATTAGGTAGGTAGATTATTACATATCATAAGAGTATCTAAGGATATTTAGATTGTTGTTAATCTTATATATAAAATTCTCGTGTCACAGTTTTCGTTCCCATACTCCTCCGAAACGGCTTGACCGATTCTCTTGAAATTTTGTGAGCGTATTGAGTAGGTCTGAGAATCGGCCAACATCTATTTTTCATCCCCCTAAATGTTAGGGTGGTTTTTTTTTTTATTTTGAGGCAAAACAACGTTTGCCGGGATAGCTAGTGATTTATATTAATTTGAAAAAAAAAATTAACCCTGTTATGAAAACAGCTAACGTAAAATTTTGAATTCAGCTGTCTTTAGTGGACTGTATTTACGACAATTGGATTTGAGCAAGATTGATAATTTGGAAGGCACTCACCTTGTACTGCGAGGATTGCCGGTTCGGTTTCAGCAAGGCTTCCCAGAACTCCGGGCTTGTCCGAACTTACCTTTTGAACGGGTTACCTGTTTACCGCCAAAACCGACAATAGGTGAAATGAAATGAAATTTTTTTTTATTTAGCTTTCCAGTATCAACTCTTGCGTTCCTTTATTATTTCGTTAAGAATATTTAGTTAAGAAATCTATATAAAATAATTTAGTTAAGAAATCTATATAAAATAATTTAGTTAAGAAATCTATATAAAATATCGACAATTACGACAGCGATCATCAGAACACTTTTTTCGACAACGACAAACGCGAAACGACTCCCACCCTCGTAATCTCTTTTTATTTTTTTACTTTTTTTTATTATTTACGGCATTGGATATCGCGATAATGTTGCCGTGCGTATTATTGTGAATAGTGAACAAACCCAAACAGACGAGTTTTTCACAACCTTTTCTTATATCACACCCCTAAATAAGTCTAAGAACATTCTAATACAGAGCCAATAAAAAAATATTAATCCATCTCAGAAACTAAGATAAAACGTTAGCATTTTCCGGCCGCGCTGTGCGTTTAATTCGTCAAATTTCTCCAAGGGGCAAGAATTCGAGAAGAATACCTCGGCTCGCTTAGCCGTTACTTAATTTTATTATTTTAAAGGCTGTAAAGAGACTGTATACGCTTCATCTTGGTTAATTACAGGCCGGCTTACGTTGGCTCACTCGGGCTCTCTAATTACGTACAAAAACAAAAACCAACAAAGGCAGAGAATTTATTTTCTAATTTCTCAGTCTTGGGGTCCTTGAATTAAAAATATAATTCAAACGTTTATTGTTTGGTGTAATTTTAATCAGAGGCAGGCGGACGTCTGGTGATTGAGTGGCAGATAAATGAAATCACCATCGCGTCCAAAACGCCAGATGGAGTAGTTAGAGACAGTTTATAGAAAAACTTAAAATCCATAGCGCTGACAATATTATCTGATTGCACTGAGAATGAGTGCGTAGCGGTTTCTATGTTGATTACTTGTTATACTGTCATTATTTATTTGACGACCTCGGTGGTCTAGCGGTCTAGCACACCGCTTTACGTCCGATGGTCGCGGGTTCGATTCCTCGCACGGCACAAACATTTGTATTCATGAGTATGATTGTATCGGTCTGGGTGTTTTCTATATATGTATTTACGAAAAAAAAGTATCTATGTATTTGTATCAGTTATCTAGTACCCGTAACACAAGCTTTAGATAGCTTAACTTGGGACTAGATGGCGCTGTGTGAATTGTCCTGAAATTATTATTATTTATAGAAAATCTATTCAAAAGTGCAACACACAAGTTTCTTGCACTTTCTTCTTGTGATGAGTCTGCGTTCTGAATGAGTGGTAGAATCAAAATATGACTATTCACAAGTACTTGTAATGAGTTTATTTGAATAAAGATTATTTCTATTTCATTTATGTGTGATGTAACAATTATTGTTGGAACTTCAATTTATTTTTCCAATACAGTCGTTTTGTTTATGATAATATAGCTAAAGTTCTAGCAGGTGAAAGAATATTAAAAATAAGTAAAGACTTCTTTGAGAGTTTCTAAACTGTTAGTATTTAGTTCGAAAATATGACCAACTATACTGGAAGCATTACGAACTTCTCTATTGGTGATCAAACTCCGACCGATATTGAGTCTACACGTGTTTCGCCTCTGAACGAGGCATCATCAGGCTTTGAATAGAGTTCGAATACAGCCTGGAAGCCTAGTGTTGACTGTTCGACAGCTAAACTGCGACATAATGGAGCATCTTCATCATCTTGTTTTGCTTGTAAAATTCATATAATAGTAATAGTGAGACTTACACATTTTGGAATATCTAAGCTAACAACCTCGAAAATCGGTTTTTTTAAACACCCAGTCCCAAACAAACAATCATACTCATGAATACAAATATTTGTACCGTGCGAGAAATCGACCCTGCGACCATCGGACGTGAAAGGGCGTGCTAAACCGCTAAACCACCGAGGTCGTAAACACTGCTATTAAATTATTTTGGACTGACTGATGACTGACTAGTGTATGCTACGAATAGTTTAATCATCAAGATGCCACAAACTGTTGAGTCACCTACAAAATATCTTGTACATTTTGTATTACACGATACATTGCGTTAAATAATAATAATAATAAGAAATCATTCCAATCGTTATGTCGGTGAACGGTCTGGTCTTATCCCAACCAGTCTGGAACAACATCTCAGACGGTTGGGATTCCGAGGCGGCTCACTCCCAGGAAAGATGCGGTGCTCTTAGATTCTGCCCGCATTGTACGCCGGTTTCTCTCCCTGGGGCCCTGAACCCCGGCCGACTGTGCTTCTGCCGGGGGTAAGTTGCCATCTCCTCTCCTTAAAAGGGGAGATGAGAATTTTTGTAAAGTTTAAATAAAAATCTCAGGACAATTCACACAGTGCCATCTAGACTCAATTTAAGCTAGCTAAAGCTAATTCTATGGGTACTAGATAATTGATACAAATATATAGTTTTCTTTTGTAAATACATACATATTATACATAGAAAACATCAGGACCTATACAAACAATCATACACATGAATACAAATATTTGTACCATGCGAGGAATCGAACCTGCGACCATCGGACGTGAAGTGGCGTGCTAAACCGCTAAACTACCGAGGTCGTAAACACTGCTTTTAAATTCCTTTTGACTGACTGATATGCTATGAACAGATTAATCTTCGATGCCACAAGCTGTTCACTCATCTACAAAATACCTTGTACATTTTGTATTACACGATTGCATTAAGCATATTTAGAGGCTTTATTTAGGTTTAATCCCATCTTCTCATATGTAATAATGTTACGATGTAATGTTGATAAACATTATGTGATATTGTGAAGAAACTCGTCGAGTGTAAAACCCACTTATTTTTTACATTCACCGGAATGAGGTTTTTTAGATGAAAGTATGTTTTATGCTTAATTTTCTTGTTTGAAATTGAACGTATTAATATGTATATTAGACATTGTAAATTTTTTATTTATATTACGAAAGAGACTGTTGGATAACTGTTCTTAAAAATAACTGTCCAAGGGGAGTTTTAATTAAGTTTAATTGTTTAATTTAATTCAAACATTAGCCATACATTAGAGGAAGTGACAGTGGCGCCGGTGTTGGAGAGGTTAAAGAGTAATCGTCTATCATGGTATGGGCATGTAAGGCGTAGGAATGAAGATCATATCCTAAGGAAGGTGTTACATATGAATGTGGATGGTTATAAGGGCAGAGGAAGACCGAAAAAGAGATGGATGGACTGTGTGAAAGATGATATGGTAAGAAAGGAAGTAAATAACGATATGACTGCGAACAGAGATGAATGGAAGAGATAAACATTGACGCCGATCACAAATAAATGGGATAAGGAAGAAGCAGATGATGATATTAACATATGTGATACCATAAATACATACCTGACCACCGCTACTGAAAACTATACGACCTTCTATATCAGGCGAAGCGAATCTAAGCGAACCAATGGCACGCGTGCCATTGACTGACTTTGAGATGAATATAACATTAACATTAAAAACTCTGTTAGAAACCGTTTGACAGATGAATCCAGTTCAGCATGCATTTTGCTAAAAGTAACATCGTACAAGCCTGACATAAATTATTTGTCATCTAACCTGCAGCAACAGAAGTCACACTAATTTTACTGTAATTTAATTTATGCGTGTAATGAAAACAATCCAAAATATACCTCTTTTGTTTACTTTATTTCATAGAGAGTTTTGATAGTATTTATTATTATTATTATTTTCAAAATAATCAGAAAGTCAAAATTATTTGATGGCACGTCAATGACCCCATTAAACATTTTTTGGAAAAAATGGTACGTTGATGCATAAAGGTTCGCCTACCCTGTTCTATATTGATGATCAAATTCCAACCATATTGAGCCAACACTCATATTGCGACAAGTATTTCCTCTTTGAATGGAGCATCATCAGCCAGTGAATAGAGTTTAGATATAGCTTAGAAGCCTAATGTTGACTGCGACCAAATTGCGCCACACAAAGTTTTTTAAAAGCTTTCTAAGTCAAATTATATTTCTATATGTCAATTGAATAAGGTTTGTCGTGAGTATATTATTTATTTTTTATAATCAAACAAATTTGAACTCATGACCTTTCCGTCTGAGTCACTTAGTAAACCACTTAGCCAGGGTGCTCTTTGACCTTTGTAAGATTAGATAAACATAGAAAAGTCCTGAGGGAGACCTTTTTTATAAGAAAATGATGTTAGATAATCCCACTGAACAATATATTATAATGCATCGAGAGACATGTCAGAGGGCTATTTATTTTCTAGAATGGGTTGTGGATCCCTCAACCATTAATATGGCGGTCAGCCGAGCGTGGCTGAGAAGGGATATCGAGGGGCCAATGAGGAATTCGACATTGAAAAATGATATTTTGGAGAGGTTTCCAGGTGGCGCCGTGGGGGATAAGTTATGGACCTGTTACAGTGCGCGTGTGTCCGTTTGTTTATTAATGAGCTACTGACACGTGATACTTATCCGGTTGAAGTCCTTTTGGGGGCATGACGGCATATAACGACGTGCCCTTGTCTTGGTAAACTCTATAATTTACACCCATCTTATTGCATTTGTTTTTCTATATTCTTGATTGATTCTGTAATGCTAAACAATTTCAAACTATTTCTATACCTATTTCTAAAATAAAATCTACTTGAATGTTTTTTTACAAACCAAACTAATATTGTTAAGAGAGAGTGAGCTCTCATACAGAATGCGGGTTCAGTTAAGAAACTTGCTGGTTGCTCAATCAAACTTTAACTTTATATAATGAATTTTATTTATATAAATCAGTAATATTAATATAATTAGAACAGACGAGTCCCTTTAAGCAACTATTCAGGAACAGAATTGCTAAGCCAGCCGTCATTTCGTTGAGATTCGAAAATTATCATTTTTTTAATTCATACCATACTGGAAGGCGTCCAGCAATGGTATTTGGAAACCGATACAATATTTAAACCTTTAAGAAAGCTTATTCCTTTTTAAAAGGCTGGCTTAAATGGTCGAGAAATTCCCCTGGAGTTGCAGGTGCTTATGCTGAACATATACATAACATCCCTCGCCCAAGGAAAGCCACTGGACACGATCATCAGCCCTTGTTCAATCTTTACCCGCAACCCGATTACGCATGTTATCCACCTAGTTGCGGGGCATCCTACACTACGTTTGCCAATTCGCGGTCTCCACTCTAGAACACGTCTATTCCAGCGTGCACTCATCAGCGACGGTAATCACTTACCTTATCAAGTGACCAAGCTCCTTTCTCTTCTATGCTATAAAAAATGTTTTGTTACAGGTATCCTGGATGAGAAAACGCGATCTTCACATTCTAACCTCTCACATCTTCACGTACACGGGAGATGCGAGGTTCAGCGTGCTACATCCGGAGCCGTCTGACGACTGGGATCTTAAGATCGACTACGTCCAACCTCGGGATGCTGGCGTATACGAATGCCAGATCAACACCGAGCCAAAAATCAATATGGCCGTCATACTCACTGTTGAAGGTGACTATATCTTTATTTTCTACTTCTTTATTGTTATCTGTATCTATAGTAACATTATAAATGCAGAATTTGTCTGTCTGTCTGTGTATTTGTTATATTTTCATGAATAGAATAGAATAGAAAATCATTTATTCAAATAAACTTAATTTAAGCACTTTTGAACAGTCACAACAATTTGTTTTTTATCTACCACTCGTTCGGAAAGCTGTGTCATCACAAGAAGAACGAACAAGAAACTTGTGTGTTGTTCTTGTAAATAATCCTTGTAAGTTTACACTTACAAATCGAAACGTGTGAATACAAACTACCAACCAGCACTAATATAAATATACAATAAGATTTAATCAGTCGTAGTGATAAGAGCAGATCAGTTCCTTCAAGCAGCACTCGTTCACGAGTATGACGGATGAGCCAGCCATCACTGCGCTCGACCATATTTTAGGTAGCCCAATGACCCGGCCCACCACGCCGCCACATGTCTGGACATTTTATTGAGCATGACTACTCATTCCACTCGACCACGTCACAGCAACAAAAATTATGACTTATCAAATAATAAATTAGATAGACTAGAGCAGAGAGAAAGATCTAGAAGTTCGAGATACAGGTTTGTTCGAATGAACGAATTCCTGAAAACACCACCATGTAACAATATTGTGATGAGACAGCATTCCAAATGAGCGGTAGATTAAAAAAAAATGTGATGACTATTGATGATACAAAAGTGATTCAATGTAAGTTTATTTAAATAAATGATTTTCTATTTTATACTATGTATATGGAGGTGTTAGAGAAAATACTCTCTGCTACCAAAATGTTAGGGAAAGTACTTTATATATATATATAGGGAAAAATATGTGTGGAAGCGTCTGTCACGTACCTGTATGGTTCTGCGGATTTCTTGGGCTTCAGGGTCTCGAAGATATCTTCGCTAGCTTTCCAGTTTCACAGTAGGTTTCACAGTAGGTTTAACACAGTTCTAATTTATTTTAATTCACAACACAATGCGCGCGCGCGTCAAGGCCGCTGTACGGTCAGTTCAGTACTGGGTAAGGGAGGGGAACAGAAACCGCGGGAACACAAACTAACGGACTCTAATATAATAATCTGTGCTTACGATGATACAGGGTAGATTTTGAACAGGAGGTATTTTCAGAAATTAGTCATTATAAGGTCAGGTCAGTTGGTCCAGTGACAAATTCACCAGGAATTGGTCAAGATGGTTTCCAAGATAACCGCGTGGACAAAGATACATTTCTAGCAATGGGATGTACGTACATGGTAGTATTTTTTATATATACATAATAATGGAATGGTGCACGTCCTGCTCTAATACTTAATGCTGGGGGGACATCAGTGGAGGATGAGCATGAGGTCAGGGTAGGTAGCCCATCGCGACAAATTCACCAGGAATTGGTTGGTGGTACTCAACAAAACAAGGTATATTAGAATTATAGAATTAAAGAATTTGTTTAAACCAAAAACAAAGTTATAACAATAACATATTAAACGTAAACAACTACATTAGTTTACAAAAAAAACTGTGTTGCAGTTATTTGCGTCCATCTCCAGAGCATTGTATACAATTTAAATAAAAACAAATGAAAATAAATGAATATTCTTCTTATTCTTCTTAAGAACATTTAGAGAAAGACAAAGTATATGAAATAAAACAAATGATATTTATAATTTATGAGCATTAGAACAATATATATTGGTAGCAATGGATTCATTTATCCACATTACGAATCCCCTTTCTGTCGGAGTCTTAAAAACCATAAGCAATAAAAATAAGTAAGTTTAATATTTATGTATAATTACTATTAATGGGTATTACAAATATTAAGAATGTTAATAATATAATAATATATATATATATATTAAAAAAATAATAATAAGCAATGGAACACATATACAGGATAAAAAAAACGCTACAAAAGAAGTGGCAGATATAATTTTGTTTAAAAAAAATCACCTTCCTGTCTTCATATATATGTGGTATTTTTTTTTTTTTATATATATGTGGCGGGGCACCAGTATTCGCCGGGATGTATCACGATGGTTTCTGGAGGTCGATCTGACAATGTCCACATTACTAACAATCCCCTTCCCCCCCTATATGTGGTTTTAATATATATGTGTATATGTATGTACTTAATGAAATACTCTATAATGTTCAGGATATGTCTCATACGTTGCCAACCCTGGAGCATAAGTTAGTATTGCTGTCCCCAAGTATCGTTTATAAAAAGTCAATAGGTCTTTTATGGGAATAGGTATAAAAATTTACAATAAGATACCAAAGGATATACTGGAATTACCCTTAAATAAATTCAAAACATCTGTTAATTAATATTTACTGAGCAAAGCCTATTACACTCTAAACGATTACTTGAATGACGAGCGTGCATGGCAATAGTTGTTCATGCACGGGATTTTCATTAAATGTTAGACATAGACACCTATATAAATATACATTGTAAAGAAACGGGCTTTAAAAAAAAGGAATTCAATTGAGTTTCTTGCCAGTTCTTCTCAATTGGGTCTATATACCTAACTGGACGGTAGGGAAAAATAATATAATGTAAAAACTTGACGTTCATAAGCGGCTAAAATGTTCTACGTGAACAAATGATTTTTAAATTTTCAATTAATATAGAGGAAGACCGAAAAAAGATGGATGAACTGTGTTAGAGATGATACGATAAGAAAGGGAGTAAATAACGAGATGACTGCGAACAGGGATGAATGGAAGAGAAAAATATATTACGACCTCAAATAAATGGGATAAGGAAGAAGTAGATGATGGTGAAGTTAGTATTGGAGTAGGCTATGGTTATCAAATTTTCATTGGCTACGGTAACCATTTACCATCTGATGGGCCGTGTGCTTGTTTGCCACCATAGTAGTATAAAAAACAAAAAAAAAAAAAAAAAAAAAAAAAAAAAAAAAAAATTAAATGGATAGTGCGGTTTGCCATCCAAGTTGTGTGGGACTGTGTATAGGACGCTGAGGTGGGTGCAGCCAACGATGGTGGTAATTAAAGATGCAATATGTAAAAGTAACAGTATACTATAAAAATATGTCGTAACAAACTACATAACAGCAAGAGCAATACAAGGAATAATAAAGAGAAATAACAAAACCATAGTAACTGATCTAAAATATAAATATTTAAAAATAAGGAATAGTCATACCAGCCAGCGGCCCGAATGTAAGGGGTTCTGTACACAAGTTGTAAATAATAATATATTTTCACGACTGTTATCAATAATAGGGTAGTCAGAGACATTGTAAACTGTTGGTGTTATGGCAAACGCAACACTTCACATGCTATTTTGCGGGTTATTTGGAATACAACGTGACAGGAAGCGAGCTTTCTAAGCTTCTAAGAATATCCTTGAATTCTTGTCCCTGATGGATCTAGGTAACAAACTTTGAAGAAGAGAGAGCATAACAGATCTATGTAGTGCAACAGATACCTGACAATAGCCCAAAAACCCTCAATAATAAAAATATTTGAAAGAAAGAAAGAATATTGTTTATTTGGTATACTGAAAATATTTTTAAAATTTAATTTACATTTTATATTAATAATTAGAGTACTAAATAGGTCTCCGCTCAGCATATATCGTGACGGGGTGCCACGACGCTGGTTTTCAGCGGACACCTTCATATACAATAAACATAATAAAATAATAATAATAATACACATACATACATAAATCCAGGCGGACAACACAAAGCAAACATTTACGACATACTACCATTGTCGCGTACAAGCAGAAACAAAACGCAACACAAAAGGAGCGTTCTGATTGGAGCGCACACCCATCCAATTTAAATACGAAAAGTAACGAAGAGACTTAAAATATCAACCGATCGATCTAACGTACTTTTGTTCACTCCACCAAATTTGTAATAAATAGTATATTTGCCATTAAATTCGAAATAAAGCGAAGTCTATCATTTCTACACCCCGTAATCTGCTGAAGCCATCATCATCTACCATCTGAGCATTCGAGCCGTATCATCACGTACCAACCATATATAAATAAAAATCAAACATAAACTACACACTGAAAACATAAAATAAACATAAACATAAATTCTGGTGACACTAGTATTACCCTGCATTACCCCGCTCTTGGAGTGCAGACACATCACGGCACAGTTTTCTGAGTGAGGAGGAGTATTTTTTTAAATTTATTTTTAAAAATCTGCACAGTTAAAGAATCTTTTATAGGAGGAGAATATCTGTGTTTCCATCACCGGAGGGTTAAATAAATAAAAGTTAACAAATTTATTATTTTACCCTCTCCCAGGTTAGAATTTACGACTTTCAGATTTGAAATAGACTATTAAACCACTAAGCAACGTCACACAGTCATGAAATTACTGAAAAAGTATAATTTTCATTTATGCAATATTCGAGCAAGATTAAGTAATATAACTGAAATTACGAGTCAAAAACATTGCATCCCTCTGCTGAAGTTTTATTTGTTTTTCTAATGATCGTTGCGTTAAGATTAAGGTTTGGGAGCGTGTTAACGACCAGGGTCAGAGCTGTGCCCCTTTCATTAAATATGTACAGACAATTTCAATGTTCCATTATAAATTCCCTTTTTGTACTGTGTATTTTTCGTATAAAATTAACAGCCTTCTGCTTCTGAGCCAAATCAATACAGATTGTTTTCCTTACCCCGTTTTCAATTATTAGAAATACTGACAAGGAAGAGAAGATTACGGCGAACCTAGGATAGGAAATAATAGCTTACGTCTATAATTGAAACCTATATAAGGGGGAAAGGGGATTGTTAGTAATGTGGACTGTTGACCCCATTGCTAGCAATGTACCATGTCAGGTCGACCTCCACGCGGTTCCCCCTGGAAACCATCGTGTTCGGTCTGTTCATGTTCCTTCTGTTTATGTACTTTAACATTACATTTTAATTAATATATGTACTTATATGTTATATATGTATCTTAATAATTTTAATATATATGTATACATATAAATATATATATATATATATATATATATAATCAATCCCGCTAGACTGACATCCATATTTATCTCATGTGTTTATCGTAAAAACTTATAAAATGTTCTATGTTCCTTCTGTTTAACTTATAATATATTTAATTTATAATATCTGTGACATCCATATTGTCCAGTAAAAACACTATGTTAGTAACTTACAATATATTTAAATCATATATCTGTGTCCACGTCCAAACAGAAATGCAACAGAAACAGAAATAATCTTTATTCAAATAAACTCATTACAAGCACTTTTGAATAGTCATATTTTGATTCTACCACTCATTCGGAATGCAGATTCATCACAAGAAGAATGAGCAAGAAAC